GAAGCTATTCTAGCAATAACTCATACCACAAAAAAGCTCCGACCAACATCAAAACCCAAAATGGCATCATATGTAGCATTTGCGACTGTACTATTCTAGTCATTTCAGTTTCGTGAACCGCTCACCTGAAGCGTTTACGGTTAGACTAGTATAGTCAAATCACTCGATAGGATTGTCAGCTGTGTCGCTAAGCGTTCTTCGAACATTTGACGCTAATGTTTCAACGTCACTACTCCATTCATCCTCTACTGAAACTCCAAGAATAATTGCTAACTAGCAAAACTAAGTTGAAAAAATTGGAATAATGTGCAAATAAGAAGAATTTACAAAGAAAAGAAGCTTTGGAATTGACCGTGCATATCTTCTTTGGCTCGGTGATGATCGTTGACAACGTAAAAAGTTGCCCACAGATAACATCCTATGCTTATTATCAAGACTGCATTGGGTAAAAACATAGCGTATTGTAAGGCGTAATACCTCGCCAAGGATGTAGTGCGATCGCCTAAAATTTCTCACTTCCGAGCGTCCCGTCTTGAAAGACCCAGCAAACCTCTTATACTATCCGAGATGAATCCAATGATGTACGGAGAGGAGGCATCACCGAATAAGTGCGAGAATAAAGACTGGATTGCCGTCGCTGTAGCACGGCGGTTTGGAACGATCACATACTAAAGATGCATATCAAACAGATGCTAACATAATCATTCTTGAGTAGTAGTAATTCTTCAAAGCACAAAATCTATGGACAAATACAAGCTAGCGGAGCCTCAAAGGCAGCGGCTAGGCAGAATTTCGTTTTCTACTTTTTTACGTTTTCGGGACCTTCTCGCCATGAAAAACTCGTACATATCTGGACTTTTCCGCGCATATAAATGGCGAAAATAAGCTTTCTTCAATGCTTTTCAAGTCCGCATTCAAGCAAATACGCTGGAAATCTTCCGCGCCCCATCTCTCTTCTTTCGAGCTCCGCCCACTTACGCGATGCGGACCTGAAGAACTTCAAGAAAAGCTCTTTGCCATTTTA